AAATGCTGACCAGAAACATTTATTATTGCCGCCACAGTAAAAAGGCATTTCGGATAAGATGAGGCCGCTGCTGCTCGCAACGGGCTGTCCAATCAAAAGAAATAATAATAAAAAACATGCAGGTGTCAGGGTGGGTGACGTGTGGGGAAGGTTGAGGACCCAAACACATGAAGGCTGACAGGTACAGTTCAATGATATTTATTAAACAACTATAAGAGCGAGCAAACTTAGTGAGAGTGGCTGAGTCAAGAAAATCCTAAATAATAAACAATCCAAACGAACAAATTTATCCAAAACTAAATCCAAAGGCAACCTCCAAAAATCCACATGAACAAGGTCCAGCTGCACACGAGCTCCACTGTAACCAGCGCAGAGGGGGAATAATCTGAGACAAAAATAATTTCCAAGATTAATCTACAAGTGAAGAACCTGAATATTCTCTGAGATTATAGTCACACATTTATGAGAGAAACTTCTGCAGGCAGTGGAAAGTTATATTAGACTTCACAATCTGATCCAGCAGTGAGGAAATACTCGTGAGTTTAGCCCACAGTCACTATCCTGCACCTCAGACTTCACCGTGGATCGGCCGTATTCAGAAGGAAACTCCAGAGGGATTCTCGATTTTTGTGACTTTAATTTCAGGGAAATCTCCAATTTTACTTCTTGTAAATTTGACACTTTAATCAAGGATTTTTTTCTCGGTTTATTAACCCCGACCCTGGCTCCCTTTTTTTGGCAACAGACTTTGGGTAACACCTGTCCACCTTTCGTAGTACGGGTTAATCGGGAAGTTACACCCGACGTCACAAAAACTCCTGAAGTTACCTGGATAAGCCAGTTACCCCACTTCAGAGTACAGGCCACAGGTAATGAGCAGGGCTGGGACTGGGACCAGGACCGGAACCAGGACCAGACACACAGGCAGGCAGAGCGATCAAGAGGGGGAAACAGACAGAACACACATTACTAAACACAAGGCAAGAATCTGGAACTCAAAACACAGAACAAGACCGACCAAATAACTGAGAAAGACGGGCAACTCCACAACTAGACAGAACAGACCGAGATAACTGAACAGAGCAGCTTAACACAGAATGATCATGACCGAATGAACAACAAACCAGTCAGAGATCACAATTAACACTTAGCAGACAGAAACCAAGCAAGAAGCAAACACCTGATTAAGGCGAATACAGATCAACACCAAACTACACAGGAAACAGACTGAACAGCACTAAAGGCACAGAGAAGGCTAGAAACTAATAATACAGATAGACTATGACAGGGAAAACTGAGTAAAACAAGAAACACAGAGCAGACAGCAAACAGGCAGACTGAAACCCAAAACACAACAGAAAGACAAACCGCAGCCAGCACAGACGAGGCCAGCAGGCCGATACAGAAACTACAGATAGAGCAGAAAACAGAGATAACATAATCAAATGATTAACGAGGCAGGCAGGTTTCACCACAGAACACGGCCCAAATGAAAAACGCTGCAGCCAGAAGCCCGGTCTCTTTCTCTGTGTGTGCTGGGCTATAACATGAAAACTGGCCCCTCAGCCTGGCCCCGGGGGCGTAAAGAAGCGCCTGGATTACCCAACAGCCTTTTACTTGCTTGACCCAAAAATTGATTGGTGGACTCCAGACTGTCCAGAGCCAGAACCAAAGAAACATGATCACATCACTTCTGTTTCACCTTCTTTATGCGGCCCCCAGGATGAGATTTTAAAATGTTGGTGATCACTTTTAAAGCTCTTCACGGCGCCTCTCTCTCTGCTCCATCTCTGACCTTTTAGTCCCATTCGCACCAGCACATACCTTCAGATCAAGTGCTCAATAAATAAGCCTCGTCAGGCTCGGGCTGAAATGCACGGATCTGGTACCTGCCCGTAGTACCTGCCCGTAGTACGCTGTGTGCCGTCAGCCATCAGTCTTTGATCTCAGTGTTGCGTGTTTCTGTCTGAGTCAGCAGGAAGGATCAGCTGGGGTTTGTGTTTCTCTGAACACGCACACAGTGACTGAATGCAAACACTGAGAGTGAAGTGCTGAGCTTGAAAATAAGACTCACCGCCGCTTCCTGTTGAGCGGCTCCAGGTGTTCAGACAGTTTGTTGGACTGAAATCACGAACGGCTTCAGATGAAAACAAAACTGTTGAGACTTCAGAGGAAACCAACTCGAGCACAGTGAAGTAAAATCACTTTCAGAAACTTTCTTGTTTCTCTGATCGAGAAAATTTTACTTTGTTTAAAGTCTTGAAACTAACGGGTCTTTTTTCAAAACAAGACAAATAATCTCACCACACTGTCCTTGATGTTCCAGGTATCCTTGAAGATATTTCATTTTGGCTTTTAAAGGGTTGTAGGGATCCTTGAGGATGGTCAGGAGGTGCTATATAAGTTTCTAGTGGTCCACATAGATGCTTCAGGAGTCTTTAAGGATTTTCGCCTGGGTCCTGGAGGATGTTCCAGGTGTTGTTTTAGAAAATTACAGGAGTCATTGAAGTGGTTAAATGGTACCTTGATTAGCTTCTATTGGTCGTGGAGTTTGTTCCAGTGGTTCCACCTCTTCTTAGTCATTGGACTCCTTGATGATGAGGATCCAGGGGCCCTGGAGAAAATTTCTAGGCTTGAGGAGGTCAAAGAACTCCTTGGGATGCTATATGTATAGAGACTCTAGAAGATTCCAGGAGTCCTTGCAGAGGTTCTAGATGTCTTTGAGGAGGCTGAAAGGGTCCTTGATAGTGTTCTAATGGTCCTGAAGAATCTTCTGGGAAGTTTTAGATGTCCTTGAGGAGGTTACGTCGGTTCTTGGTCGGATTCTAGTGATTCTTGATACAGGGGGTCTTTCAGGATATTCCAGGTGTCCTTGGGGATTATTGGAGAGCTGCTATTGAAGATTCTAAATGTTGTTCAGGATTTATCATGAGTCCTGGAGAAGATACAAGGAGTCCTTGAAAAGGTCTTTGTCCTCATGACAGTAGCGTAGTAGTAACACAGAACATTTAAACATGTTTATGTTTCAGCTTTTAAACTGAATTCAGATTGAAATGAGTTCAGAGGCAAAGCTGCCGAACAGAACAGGTGCAAGATGATGTTTGCACAATCACCTGAGCCTCTGAGCAGGAAGTGTCGGCATGTTCCTGATGGACACGTGGAGCTCAGCAGCAGCAGTAGTATTAGCACAGTGCGAGTACACAGTGGTATTAGAAGCCTCTCAGGGTGAAGACATTTGTTTGGACTGCTCCTTTAAGTGCAGGACTCTGTTTAAAGAGCTGATCTAACTATAGCTGCTGCGTTCGATGAAAGGAATGTTTCTAAAAGCCGCTGTCAGCGTCGAGTCGCTGCTTTCAATCACCAGCTCAGCTCTGAGAGCAGACAGCCCGCCACGGCGTGAATTTGGTTGTTTTGTGCGTTAAAGAGTGAAAAATGATTTTAGTAAAATTAATTATTACCTCTGGATTTTAAAAAGACTGTACACATTAAAGGGGAGGGGGGGGACTAAACTTCTCACCTCACTGTCCTTTAAGATCTCCATTGGTGGACCGCCATTTTGAAGCCTCCAGTTTGGCATTTTGGCCGTCGCCATCTTTTTTTTTTTCGGAACCAGACGTGACCATATTTGGACGAGAGGGTGGAGCTAGCTAGCCTGGTTAGCATGGTGCTTCTGTAATTAGCTGGGAGGCTAATTTTAGCTAGCGACAAACAGGCTTCAAACTAAACGTACTCACTGAAAAATGAGCAGCCGACTCCTGATGAGCTTATACAGCGGTGCTGGTTAAATGTACACAGAGCAGCGGGTACGAGTCGCCTCTATCGCGTCGCCACGCTTGTAGCCCCGCCCTAAAGCCTCCCCTGCTTCCTGGTCTCTGTTCCTCTAAATGGGACCATAATTTACTAAATGAACATCATGCTGTGTTGAAGAAGACTTGAAACTAGCGACTGAGACCATAAACTCATCAGGAAAGTGTTTACTGAGGGAATAAATCAGCTGAAGTAGAAACTGTTACTCAGAGACTTCTTTCTGCAGCCGGCGGAGTCGCCCCCTGCTGGCTGCAGGAGAGGACGCAGGTTTAAGTCGCCCCCTGCTGGCTGCTAGAGAGGACGCAGGTTTAAGTCGCCCCCTGCTGGCTGCTAGAGAGGACGCAGGTTTAAGTCGCCCCCTGCTGGCTGCTAGAGAGGACGTAGGTTTAAGTCGCCCCCTGCTGGCTGCTGGAGAGGACGCAGGTTTAAGTCGCCCCCTGCTGGCTGCTAGAG